TACCCCATTACTATGAAACACCTCATCTGCCAAATCACCCCCTTTCAACCACAGCAAACCTGCCTTTCTGCAAACCACTCCATTTGTCAAATCAATTTTACCCTCCACAAATCAATGAAAAAGAAAAGAGGGAAGATAAAGTGAATGGGTCAAAGGAAGGGGGGAAAAAGAGAGGAAGGAGATCGATTGAGATTGCCTTTGCCGTTGTCATTGAAGATCTTTGCCTCTGCTGCAAGGATAGATTGCTACCTTCTGTTGCCATTGTTGCACCGTGCTCCTCCTTTGTTGCATTCATCCTCAACACCCCTTCTCCATTGCTTAAAGCCCCCTTCCCCTTCGCCTTCCCTAACGCCCACCAACTGCCTCCTCTCTCGCTCTCTTTTTATATATATAATATTAGTTTTGCTCAAGTTAATTAAGTGTAACAGGTGATTCTAAATGCACCTCATTATACCCCTAAATGAAATTACCAAAAATCCTTAACCATACAACCATCTTCTACCTTGGGTAGCTGGTGGTGCTAGCAGCTTCGATAGCCACTCGAGCCCCCTCCCTTTCCGACTCCCCTCCCCACCCTCTCCAACTCCACCCGTCACCCCCTCCACCCCCTAGTCGCTTCCCACACTCCATGCCCCCTCCCACCCACTCCGGCGATCGCCCCATCCCTTTTTCCTCACTTAGATGCCGTTGTCGCCAGCCACTCCCACCCCAGAGCTCTCCCGTCCTTGCTTCCTTCCCCTTCATTTGAAATTGTAGAGCACCGTCACCAAAAAAAATGATGGTGGTTCAGACGGATACCACTAAACAAATAGTGGTGGTTAGGACACAGACCACCGAACCAAATTTATGGAGATCGCATCGGGCGGCGGCAGTCATGATGGCTGGTGGGGAAGGAAATTGAGAGGGGAGGTAGGGTTTAGTGGTATAGTTTGATGGGTAAGGAAGCGAGCTAGCGTCGGGCTGCAGGGAGGGAAGGGGAGGCCGCTGCGGAAGGATGGGGAGATGTTGCCGGAGATGATGAGGCGGTGGTTGTGGAGGGGTTGGGATGGATGGGGGTAAAGTTGGTGTTAACTAGGGTGCTCAAAGAAAAAAACAAAATTTGAATTCAGGAATTAGGATGCTCAAGAAATGAGATGTCCAACCACAAATTTGAGGTGCATTTAGAGGCACCGAAGGGTAACTCACAAAGTTGGATGGGGTATGGGCGAATGGACTATTTGACCCTTGAAAACAAGATGTTTGTTGTTCACATGTGAAATTTTAGTGAAATTGTAACGGCCATTTTCAATTAGAATTCATTGACAAAAAACTTGAAAGTAAGGTGCAAAATCAAGCGAACTGAAATTATATGACCAAAATGACATAAGGGCTAAAGTATAAGGACTATTGGTGCAATTTTCCATTATTTTTATATATACATCAAAAGTGCAGAATGAATTGGACTTGGTACATGTGTGTAGTTCATGATCTTTACCCAGAAGGACATTCATAGTGTGATTAGCATGATAATAGACACTTCATATTATTAGTCCACATGTTAACATAATTTATCTTAAAGGAAATATTTGTTCTAAATTTTGTTGACATATTTTTGTTGTGCGTCATTAAGGATTTGCCATGTTGGCATAGTTATATTTTTTCGTTATGAACGCCACATTAGAATATAATCATACTTTGGGCAACACTAAATCTTGTATTTCATCCTTAAAAAATTTTCATTTTTTAATTATAAATGTAATTAAACTTTCCTTCGGTGCTATATCTTTTGTTAAACCCTCCTATGCAAATAGGTGATTTTGGAATCTTGGTAAGCTATGAAGCACCGAGACTGCAAAACAAGTGTTGTATCCATGTCGGACACACAGACATGTCGGGGTATGGGACACACCACATGGCGTGCTCCCTTATTTAATTAATTTATTTTCAAGGAACACGTTGAGGACACTTCGGGAACACACTAGGGACATGCCAATTTGTCTTTTTTTTTAATTTTATTTAGTACTTTTGATGAATGTTGAATGTTTATTATTTTTTTCTTAGATTTAAATACTTAATAGATCATCCATAAAAAAATATATAAACAAGTGTTAATTTAAAAGTACTTTTTAAGAAAATAAAAATAAAAATAGAATTAGAGTTAGTTTTTGTTAATATTGATTGTTTGTGGATATAATATCAATCAAGATAGAATATATATATATATATATATATATATATAAGCATATTTTATTGTCGTGTCCACGCCTTCTGTGTCTCCATTTTTTTGAACTCGTTTGTCCCATGCCCACATCCATGTCTGTGTTTACATTCGTATCCGTATTTGTGCTTCTTAGTTGGTAAGATCCAATTTTAGTGTCTCGAAAGCTCTCTTTTTCAATCTCCTCTCAGCACTGGTGGCACTAGCAAGAGCAACATTGGTTAGTATTGTTTTAGTATGGCAAGTTGAATCGTATTTATTTATTTATTTTTTAATACCAAAACAATTGAAGAATTAATAATCACGTTTTACTGTTATTATCGCACAGGCTTTAGTCATGGGCCAAGATCAAGGACAATCATCTTTGATTGAGGTAAAAAATCTTCAAGAAATGATCCAAGCAAACTCATCTTGACGTTGAGGGTATAATATGCATTAGCATTAGTAATAATCCCAATATGTTTTTGTTTTTACTTTTGTTTTTGTTTCCGAGATTGACGACAAGCAGGTTCATGTACATTGCAGTTGCTAAAGTGCTAGCAGAAATGAACAATGGTAGCAGCTCAGCAATAAAAAGTACTGTACTCCAATTAACCTCACTGATATCTGGAATGGCCATCACACTTTGTATATCCCTTGTTGAATGAATATAAAGCACCTTCTAATATGTGTTTAGTAATTTTTAAGATCAATGTAATCCAAATTGTATAGCATTACTCATTTGTAAATCAAGATCACAATGATGAAAATTCTGTTTTTAAATCGAGAGACCACAATATGCCACATCAAGTGGCGGAGGGACATTGGGGCCAAGGGTCACATGCCACCCCTGACTTTTCAAATTATTTTTATTTTTATTTTTTTTGTTTGTGGTAGGTCTTGCTCCTGCTTACAATTACACAGTGCCCTCTCCTCCCCCCCCCCCAAAAAAAAAAAAAAAAAAAAAAAATACCCAAACACCCATGCACCCCATCACAAAATCACTTGCACCCTCAATGTTTTTGTAATTTTTTTTTTCTATCCCACTGTTAAGTAATTTTCCCTATATTTTTTTTTTTGTAATTAGGTATATTAAATTTTTTTATAATAATTTCATTTAGTAGAGATTTAAATTTTCCCATTTGGTAGAGAAATTTTTTGTTAAATTTAACTAGTGGTGATATTTTTTAATTTTTCCACAAACTTGATATTCTTAACTAAAAACAGGTTTGGGATGGGCTAAAATAGTTCATCCCGAGCTAAAATTATAGCGACCCGAGTTAAAACCCAACTTTTTGTATTCTTTGGATCTGGATCTGGTGATCATGGTTATTGTTTATACTTCTTGTTGTCTTGTTGTAGTGTGGGATTGGTTGTTTGGAGTTGTCTGTTGTGTTTTAAACAAGTTGGGAGTTAGTTTTTCAAAAGAGTTTGTTTGTTTCTCTTTAGGTTCGCTCGAGCGATCTTTCTCTCGCTCGAGAGGTCTTTGGTTCCTTCCAGTATTTGTGTCTACAGTCTGAACTTCTGGGAGGGGGTGTTCTTCGTTGAAGCCATGGGTTGGTTGCTCAAGCGGTATTCTATGTCTGACACTCAAACGGTCTTTCTTTCGCTTGAGCGGTCTCTTCGTAGGTTTGAACTACTGGAAGGGGGTTATTGTGCGATCTAGCCTTAAGTTGGTCGCTCAAGTTGTTCCTTGTGTTTGATGCTCGAGCGGCATTTTGTCATGCCCCACTTTTTATTACCCGGTTACCCTTACCAAATCTGTCATCATAATCCATTTCATTAATACAATACGAAAAACAAATCCATTGAAATCCATAAACACATAATGGTTCCCTCAATTGCATATACAATTTGAAATGCAACATGAATTACAATTAAATAGATTGCTTGTAGGCTTACACTATTACATAAAAGAGAAAGGGTTCAACCCTCTTTACATTGACGGCGTTCCGCCAGCAAATAAAGGCCCCGTAGCCAACTTGTATCACTTATCAACTTGTACCTGAAAAAAGATTAACAACATAGGATGAGCATAACATGATCCTAAATAATAACATCATACATATAGCTATGATCATGAATGCTTCATATCATTTATTTGTTAAGTTTTGATTTGTAAATTTTTTTTATTTGTTATTATTTATGTTAAAATAAGAGATTTTGACATGCTAAAATTATGAATCTTAATTGGTAGTGATTTATATTAAAATTAAGAATTTTGGTTTGTTGTTTGTGCTAAAATTAGGGATTTTATTTGTGTTAAAATTAAAAATGTTAATTTGCAGTGATTAATATTTAAATTAGGGATTTTGATTTGTTATAATTTGTGTTAAAATTAGAAATTTTGATTTGAAAAATCGTCGGGGATCAATTGTAAAAGTTTAAAATTAAAAACGTTTTGTAATGAATATTAATTTCTAATGTTCAATATTAACTCGAAAAATTATTATTATGTTATTGTTATTGATTGGAAAAGAAAAATTTTGATTTTATAATTAATAGGTGTCCCTCTATATTAAATTCTTGGCTCCGCCACTGGCCACATCACTCTATACAAAAAAATTTGTTCAATTTTTCTTTATGTATATCTCCACCACTCAAAACTATTAATGCATGGTGAATACGTGATGTATCATGCATGCAACCTATATGAAAAATAAAAGATATATTGTAAACTCAAATGCCACGTTCCTCCTAGTTGAAGTGGCTGGCCTCCCATACCAAACACGTAAATCTGCTTAAACCAGGTAAATTTAGAGCCACAAACTCTACTCTATTTTTATATTTTGACAGTAAACAAGACCGGATAATACTCCAACAATTTCCTCACAAATAGTAGTTATATATTTTTTGGGTGAATTCAGTAGTTATATATTACAAACAAGTACTCACAAACAGTTATATTACATAACAAGCACACTTAACTAGCAATTTCTAGCACAATCAAACAATCTCTAATTTGTACATTTTCTCTAATAGCACCTTTGAAAACACCATTTCTGTTTGATTCGGAACAAAGGAGGGAAGCCATAGCAATACAATCTTCATCCTGAAACATGTTGTCAAACTGGTTTTACATTTTAGGCCAAAGGATATACAAGTACTACCAAAAACAATGAAATTCTACTTGAGAAAATTAAAATTCACTATGAAGTTGCATTCCTCATTAATCTTCCTGTGTGAAATCTTAAAAGGAAAAAAAAGTTTAGAAAAGAAAAAGAAAATGAACATGACAAAAAATACAAACATCACAATAGACATAACATTATAAGATGTTTCAATGCAGTAGCTCACAGCTTAGTCCAAAGTCTTCCACTAGTTAGATCAAGATCTTTGGCAAGTTGTTGCCCATGCGGAATACCTAATCAAGATGAGTAAGACACGAAAATAGAAAGAAACAAAATAGGAATTATAAAGTATACGTACACACAAGAACACAAGATTGAAAGTGGTTCATCCCAAAATCAAGCATACATCTCATTGCAATTGTGCAATGATTAGAAAAAATACAACCAATATACAGAGAACTATGTATTCATAGTTAGATCCACGGTTGAGTGGTAAATATTCAACATCCCCTCCCACTCTTTCTCGGTTTTTATCAAGGTTGAGCTCTTAAACTCCCATTTGGTAATGTTTATGTTTTAATCTTTTGTTTATGTTTTACAAGTATTTTGAAAACGAAAAACAAAAACTTGATTGGTGTCTTATTTTTGTTTTCCAAAAAATGAAAATAATTTTGAAAATTTACTAAATCATACGAGGAAAAAAAAAAGAAAAAAAAAGAAGAAGGTATTGTTCTTAATACAACTAGCCAACACAAAATTGATAAAAGGGGTACTACTCATTTTTTTCGAATATTATATTTTAGCAGATGCATTAGAAGAAGAGGTTCAGTAAGTTGTTTAAACATCAACTTCGTTTGAGCACAGTTATCCGAACCCTATGCTCACTTGATATACTCAAATCAGTATATCCATCATAGGGGGAAACTCGCTGATTAGTTCTGAAGATGGTAGGTCATGACCTGACAATTTGCATTGTGTGTACACTTGGGCAAGGCCGGCTCAACTCGTGAAATTGGTGCCCAAGTTCTTTTGTGGCTAAGCTCAGTAGGTTTTTTTCTAGTGGGCCACGCCATGCCAAAGCCAAAAATTTTAGGTCCAGGCCCTAACGAGCTAGCGAGGTGCCTAACCCTAACAATCCTTTTTTTTAAAAAAAAAAAAACAAAAAACAAAAAACATTTTTCCTATTTTTTGCTTGTGGGTCGAGCCAGTGGGCTGATTGATCACCTCTCAAGGGCTAACTGGTCAGTCTACAACACCTAGACCTAGACCTAGTCCCAAGCTAAGCCCTTTTTGGGCTTTGCCAGCCTACCCAAGAATATGGACTGGTCGGGTCACTGGTCGTCAAATGATAACCCTACGATACATTTCGATAGCATCTTAAAAACACAAACTTGTGTCTTTTCATATAGGTTTTTTTAACATGTATACTTACTATGAATAAAAGGAATATAGGTAGAACCAAAACAGTGCAATTCAAATTGCAATTGCATCTTGGTAAGTAGAGAAGCTGTTAGACACAAAGAAGAGGTAGGAGCAACATCTTTAGCTCTAGTTATATCATTGTATGAGAATTAAGAGGCCAGCGAGGAGGTAAAATAGGAATAGTAAGACTAATACCAGGTGGAGAGAAAGAACAAGGAACAGAGGAAGAAGTAGGAGAGGAGACAAGACATGATTGTTGGCAAGAGAAGGACTAGGCTTAGGAGAAACAGAAATATGACTAGGAGAAGAAACGACAACATTATCTACTCCCTCCTTCAAATTCAAACTTAATAATGTGTGGCATGTTCCACAAATTTCATCTATTTTGCTTTATGTTCATCAACTCACATCTGATAATGCTTGCACCATTATATTTGTTGATAAATCATTTGTTATTTAGGACAAACACAGCAACCAAGTTCTATGTAGAGGTCTCTATCGATTTCCTTCCCTCTCATTTTGATCACTGTTCAAAGGTTTTTTCTAGTATTAGTTCTCCAGTTGCTACTTGGCATAAGAGACTAGGGCATCCTTCTTTTTCAGATGTTTTTCATCATATAGATAAAACTTGTGGTTTTTCCATTTCTCGTAAAGACTGTTCTTTTTGCAGTCATTGTTGTGTCTCAAAGAGTCACAAACATCCTTTTGTATTGACTAATACTAATTCCAATGTTCCTCTTGAGAGAGAGAGAGAGAGAACAAAAAGTTATAAGTTTGTTATAGAGGAGAGGATTGTGTACTGCTAAGCTACATCCTTATGATAGTTTTATAGGTGTGTTATAGTTGTCATTGCAACTTTGTCTTTAGTAGCCTTAGCTGTGGTTATGGTTCCTAAGGTGATAGTATCTAGGAGGCAGATGTGGGGACATAATTTTTGACATGTCCACGTGGCATGACCTTGGCCTAAAGTGCCACATGGCGGAATGTGATTGGCCGAGGTATTTGGTGAAAGACAAAAATCCTAGTGAATGAATGACTCCTAGGTTGGGTGTATTTAGGACTCTTTTGAGAGGTTAACCATAACCCAACTAGGAGAGATGAGTCATCTAGTATTATTCCTAAAAGGAATAAATGTTTGATTTGATCACTACTTTTAGGAGGACACCTTTATATAGGCACCCCCATGTGTGAGAGGTACGTGAGTTTATGTGTGTTAATTTGAGTTACCGTTAATTTGTCGAAATATCTTGAGATATTAGTTTACTGACTTTATCATCGGAGTGCCCTCACGGTTGATGAGCAACCGAGTTAGTTATTCTTCTAATTGTGCAAACGTGGATCTATATAGGCTGTGTGTTCTACAACTGTGTTCCCAAAATTCTAGGAGGAAGATCAAATATTGGTTGTGGTAAAATTTTAGCGCACACATACTCCATACACTTTATTTTTTGATAATTTTTTGAATTACTTCTCTATACTTATTAGACCACATGAATATTGTTACTCAATACATATATATCACATTTTCCAAAAAAATTTACAGAATTAAAAATGAAAATGAAAAAACATAAAATGCTATATGCTTAGTTAAATTAACAAATGAAAAAAAAATGAAAATGGAGTGAAAGAAACTATATTTTGTTCTGGTTAGGTTAAGAATATGAAAAAAAGTGAATTAGATAATAGTACAAAAATAACCATTTTTGTTTAATTAATTTAATTTTGTTTTCCCTGTAATCATTATCCAAATGTAGCATAAATATTATTAAAAATTTTAATATCAAATTTTTAATGCAATTATCTTAAATATATGTAAATAAAATATATAACTTATACAGATAAGTTACAGTCACCTCCCTTGAGATTTCTGACAATTACACTGACCTCCCATTCTATTTCTAAAATTACACTGACTTTCCCTGTGATTAACGGCGTTAATGGGAGGGTTAGTTTAGTAATTTTAACATTAGAGATATTGTTGTTAATAAACATTAAATGTGCGATTATTATTTTGGTTATACCTTATGTAGTGTTTGGTTATTAGTCATTTTTTTTATTTTATTTTAGTTATGACTGAAAAAAAATTAGTTATAATATTTTTTTGATAATTTTTTGAATTACTTCTCTATACTTATTAGACCACATGAATATTGTTACTCAATACATATATATCACATATTCCAAAAAAAATTACAGAATTAAAAATGAAAATGAAAAAACATAAAATGCTATATGCTTAGTTAAATTAAAAAATGAAAAAAAAAAATGAAAATGGAGTGAAAGAAACTATATTTTGTTTTGGTTAGGTTAAGAATATGAAAAAAAGTGAATTAGATAATAGTACAAAAATAACCATTTTTGTTTAATTAATTTAATTTTGTTTTCCCTGTAATCATTATCCAAATGTAGCATAAATATTATTAAAAATTTTAATATCAAATTTTTAATGCAATTATCTTAAATATATGTAAATAAAATATATAACTTATACGGATAAGTTACAGTCACCTCCCTTGAGATTTCTGACAATTACACTGACCTCCCATTCTATTTCTAAAATTACACTGACTTTCCCTGTGATTAACGGCGTTAATGGGAGGGTTAGTTTAGTAATTTTAACATTAGAGATATTGTTGTTAATAAACATTAAATGTGCGATTATTATTTTGGTTATACCTTATGTAGTGTTTGGTTATGAGTCATTTTTTTTTATTTTATTTTAGTTATGACTGAAAAAAAATTAGTTATAATATTTGTGGGAATCAACACCACAAATGTTATAACTTGTATATGTCACATATAAAATGGTGTGTATTTTAGAATAACCTATTGTTACGACAAAAGTGATGATGAAACAAAATTAAAAAATTAATTATATAAATATAAGAGAAGTTATTTGGTAGTTTTTAATCAATACTTGACATCATACAGTTTAGTTGTCTTAAAAAAAAAAAAAGAAGATAAAATTGATGAGTCTTACTATCTTCTTTTTGTTTTTGTTTTTGTTTTTGTTTTTGTTTTTGTTTTTGTTTTTTTTTTTTTTGATGACATGAATCTTACTATCTAAATTAATAAAAATAAAATTGGGACACCATTTGTATTTATTTGAATAGTATTAAATAATATTTTTAAATACTCACATGGGTTTGACTATAAATATATATATACTAGTTGAACCCCGGGGTTGCATTATCGTTGATAAAAATAATATAACAAGACAAATAGAGAAATTTTTTTCAAGAAAATCTCCAACACAAAATACACATTCCCCCTCCCTCCCCTAATTCTATCAATCATAAACACATTTGATGTGTAATTATGAACCAACAAACAACTTCAATTCTTGTTGTCTTAAAATATAACTTCGTGGGTTGGCCGGTTAGAAGGATTTTCCTTCTCTCTAGCACCAATGATAAAGCTAAAATTGAAAACAAATCCACCTCCGAGTTTTCCCCGTGAAGTTAATTGAAAAATAACATTAATAATTTGCATGGGTACAAATGATTTTATAAAAATGTGAATATCTTGACAAGTAGTTTGGGGGTGAGTATCTCAAAGAAAAAATAATAGGTGCACTGTTGTCCATAAAACTAACAATGTATTCTCAATCACAAAAAAATAAAATAATAATAATAAAATTAAGTGTTTAAATCAATTTATTACTTAGGAGTAATATCGTAATAGTGGCTTAAATCCAAAGTATAAAGAACAATCATTTGTTAAACAAAGAATACACAAGATATACCACACATGCTTTTGCAATATGGGTCGTGCATAAATTAATTCATCAAAATGTGTTGAGGCATCTCTAGATATGAGACTAATTTTCTTTTAGGAAGTAGATTATCATGAAACATAACATTGTTAAAATGTGCAAGTTCACCATTTACACTTCTGAAATTTCTCATACTGGATTTTATTGTCATAAAAAAAGTGAGGAATGTCAAAATGTGAAATACCGAAGAGAATTTTTTCACTCACCCCTGGACATAAACCACCAAGGCACTGTCATTGGATGCACCAGTAAGTGAAGTGACGTAATAATTCTTGTCCTCAACACAGGCCTTGTATACTAAATACACATTTCTATTGGCTTACTATTACCAGACCTCATACCAAAGGCCATGAAACATGGAGGAGAGTTTTTTTTCACCTACAATATAGTAACAGGCATGTCCTTGGCCAGTGGTCAGCCACCAACCATCTCATTACATCATGCAGACAAAAAGCATCAAACATATTCTCACATTAATCATGCTTTTTAATAATGAAATAGAAATGC